TTCTAAGTGCTGGGGACACAGGAGTTAAATGCTATAAAAGAGCCATCTTCTCATGGAACGGAATTCTATTAGGAAGAAACAAGTAGTATTAAAATAAACTAACAAAGAAGATGATGTTAGAGTCATATGAGGAAGAAAATCCAAACGGGGTGATGAGACAGGGAGGAAGCAGGAGGGCCACATCAGCCAGAAGAGTCATGGAAGGTCTCTCTGCCCAGGGGACATCTGAGCTGTTTAGAAAGAGAAAGAGCCGCCATGGAAAGATACAGGAGATATGCGTTCCAGGCAGAGCAGACAGCTAAAGTAGAGGGGCAAGAACAGCTGGCTTCTGGTCTTCCAGGACCAGAAGGAAGTCTGCTATGACCTGAGCAAAAAGCCAAAACAGACAAAGACCAGATGTGGCAGGCCCGGGGCCAGTCACAAAAACCTCACGGATCATTTAGGTTTTGTTCTAATTGGAACATTAACTGTTGGAACTGTGACCGTGACTGGACACCGTGCCCCTCGAAAGCTGTGTTAGGACTATCTCTTGGGCTCCTGCCTCACTCCAGGCCCGGAGATAAAGCCAGTCGGTAGACACTCCACTCTACTGTGTGTACAGTCACAACGGACTTCCCAAACGCTGCCACTGTTATGTTTTCTGAAGAGACTTTGAGAAAGAACAGCCTGCGAATCATTCCCATCAGATAAGAAGCCATCCTGAAGCGTCACTCCAGATGGCTGGAGACGCACCTGCCCGAGGCCCTCAAACACCGCTCTGAACACCTGTATCTCTCAATAAATCCCGCTCTTTATTTAGCAGAAGGTCCAGTTTCTGCTCTCCAGAATAAAGAAGGCAGGCTTTCCTTCTTCCTTTTTCCAAGTTCTGCACCTAACAACTCTACTTGCCCTGAGACAGTGCCAACTGGAAATGTAACAAGGTTTTCCCCTTAAGCGCTTCTGCTATTTTTTTCTGATCATAAAAGTAATTCGTGTCATAGAATTACCATATTACATGGTACTTCTTGGTTTATACACTAAAGAACTGAAAGCAGGACCTTGGAGAGATATTTGTATGCTTATGTTCCTAGCAGCATTACTCATAGTAGCTAAAACGTGGAAGCAACCCAAGTATACATTGACAGATGAATGGATAAGCAAAATGTGGCATATAAATACAATGGATATGATTCACCCTTAAAAAGGAAGGAAATGCTGCAATACACTACAACAAAGATGAGCCTTGAGGGCATTATACTAAGTGAAATAAGCCACACACATAGAGAGAAATACCATATGATTCCATTTATATGAAGTACTTAGAGTCGTCAAAATCACAGAGAAAGAAAGTATAATGGTGGTTGTCAGGGGCAAGGGAGGGAAGGGAATGGGGGGTTACGGTTTAATAGCTATACCTCTGCAGTTTTACAAGACGCAAAGAGTTATGGGGATGGATGGCGGTGATGGCTGCACTGCAATGTGAAGGTATTTAATACCACCAAACTGTGCATTTAAAAATGGTTAAGATGGCAAATTTTATATTATGTGTATTTTACCACAATAAAAAGAGTAATTCATGTGAAAAAAAATCAATAATAACAAATCAGGGGGAAGTGTACAAAGAAAATAAGAACCTCTATTGTCTCACCGCTGATAACTGTTAGCACAGTGATTCTCAAGCTTTCCCGTGCGCACAGATCTCCTGGGGTCTGGGTAAAAGGCAGGTTCTAACTCAGAAGGGCTGGGTGGGGCCTGGGAGTCTGTATCTCTCCAAGGTGATGCTGATGCTGCTGGGTCCTGACTTGAACAGCAAGGATTTAGCACCGACCCTTAAGGATACGCACGACAGTCCTAGATCTCTCCTGTGGAACTCTCGCCACTGCTTTTTCTAGAAGAGATGTCAGCAGCCTCCTCTGCCTCATCTTGCAAAGCCTCTCCTTATGGTGGGAGGAAAAGTCTGCTCTCTGTAGAGACAGCCTGAGGTTGTGCAGGTCTCGGCCCACCGCACGCCCACCCTGACTGTCATCTTTCTGCTGACAGGAAGTGCACTTGAGTGAGGCAATCCTGACCCCAGAAGGGACACCTGTGGCCATTCTAGCCCTGGACAGGGATTCAGAGAAAGGGGTCTCGTAGGGTGGAGGGAGCATATGTTGACAGCAAGAGGTGCCCAGGAGGCCCATGGCCATGAGGAACAGCGGAAGGAGCGTTAGTGGGAAGTCACAAGGCATCATAAGGTCTCATCCCAGCCGGGCTGCCGGCTGGCCGTGTGACAGGGACAGTCACTTCCCATCTCTGGGAACTGGCTTCTGCATGAGATCAGATCCTCCTAGCTCTGCAGCCCGCACACAAGGGGCCTCTGTGGAGACAGGCAGCAGAGCAATCGGCGCTCCAGGCCTCTTTCTTACCTTCTCCTGGGGACAAGGAAGACCACCGCTCCCAGGGCCAAGAAGACTCCTCTAGTCTCAACCGCTACAACTGAGAGGAGTGAGGAGCCGGCGCCCAGCTACATGAGCCTCAACTGTGGGCTGAGCCATGAAGTGCCTGGTACCTAATCCTCGACAAAGAAGGAAAGGTGGCTCCATTCAACAGGGCACTGAAGCCAAGAGGAAAAGACCTTCCACTCGATGCTATGGGACTACAGGAAGTGCTCAAGGAGAGGTTCAATTTCACGTCCCGTGGCTCCTGGCTCGTTCACCTGCCAAATCTTGCTCACTCTCAACCCCTGGAACAAACCTGCCCCACTGCTGGTTCGGGAATGATTTCTCTGTGAAACCCCAGTCTTTGAGCTTCCTTCCCTCTCCAAAGGTCACCCTCAGTTAGCACTACCAACCAGAGAAGCCAGAATGGGCTTCTTTTTCTTTCTTTTTTTAATGGAAGTATAGTTAACTTACAACATTGTGTTAGTTTCAGGTAGACAGCAAAGTGATTCACAGAAGAGGCTGCTTTTAAATTTCTTGTTAGATCACCATCAAAATCAAAATAGAAAATGCAAAAGCACCCCAGGAATGCCCCCCCCAGGCCCACAAACCCGTCAGAGAAATGCAGTGACCCCCTGAGGCTCTAACTCAGAAATCACACGTGTGTCTGAAAATCAGTCACCTGGTTCAGGTGCATCCCTGTCATCTGTCTTTAATGTGTAGAATCCGTAAGATCCTACTTTAATTTTTACCACAAACCCCCAGCCTTCAGTGACTTCCTGGGGAGGCTGAGCAGGGATTAAGAGTAGGACACACCAGCTGTGTGACCACGGGCAAGTTACTTCACCTCTCTGCACCTGCTACATATTAAATAAGTGAATGTATATTGTGCACCTATAACAATGCCTGGTATATACCAAGCATTTTATATATGTGCACTATTATTATTGTTGTTGTGGTCAATCCTATACCTCAGAGGCCTAAAATCTCTGGCTCTTAAGAAGTGCTTTCAACTGGCTACTCTCCAGAGTGCAGGCAAAGCAACCCAATCCAGGCCTTCGAGTTAGCTGCTCTGGGTGGGCATAAGGCTGAAAAAGCATCTCGGGCATCTAGGGGTGGTGGAAATTAGCAAGATGCCCC